GGCCAAGCGCCGTGCCGCCGAAACCCCGCCTGAGCGCTGCACCCCGCGCCGCCTCCCGCCGAGCGCCGCGCCGCCAGAACCCTTATGGTACCTCGAGATCCAGGAATTGGCCAGAATCCACCTCCTGGCAATCCTGGCAGTGCACGTATTTCTTATCCCACAATGGTCAGCTTCAGACCTCCATGCTGCGTGTCTTTGCAAGCACCGCATTCATCTGCCTTGACATCAGCTAATAAAATACAGACTTTTCACAAACAAACAATGGAAGGCTTGCCAGCCACCAGTTCTCATTTGCAACCCACACCTCATTCACAGCCACAACCTTTCTCCCTGTACCTGTGCCACCCAGCCACACTCTCCACATCCAAATACAGTGGAGAGAGAGAAAACTTGAAGCATGGGGCCTGGAGCAGGGCCTGAGGCCTGAACCAAAGGCTGTGAACCAGAGCAATATAATATAATTGGCAAAACAATAATATGCTAGATATTTATGTAAATACATTTCAGAAGGCTAGTAGAAATACACCCCAATCTAGTAAAAGATAAGATGGTTTGAGGGAACAATGTATAGGGATGTTTTGTCAAAGATATCAGAAACAAGGGGAAGTAACAAGCAGGTGTCATGCAGCACATAAGGTGGTACGTAAGTTGTTTGTCTCAGTCTATAAAAATAGGGGTACCTCAACTTACCCCTTTGTGTGGCCTTGGGGACAACAGAGATTCCCACTGCTGAATGAACTGATCCTTGTCACTGGGCACTCATGTGTTAGTTTACCTGTCACCACGGAGCCAGGGCGTTAGGACTGTGCCTGGAAGGCAATACACCTGGTTATGTGCCTTTGTCACTGAACTGTGCCTGTGGTCTTTTCTTTTATGAGCTATTAGAGTTGCCAACATTGTTTTTCAAAAATAAGGGACGGTTTTCTTAATACCCCCACCCCACTCCTCCTCCCAATATCATTATCATTATTAATAATAATAATAGCAAGCAGGACTCATCTACAATTGCCAGAGGTGTTTCTTGCTGCTTTTTGCAGCACTGACGGTGGTCTTGGCTGCCAGGACCAGGCTCCCTGCCCGTCTCGCTCCCCCAGGCTGCAGCTGCAGCAGCCACCAACCAGCAGTTATGCTCCTCTGCTGGGGACGCTGGCAGAGACGCTGTGAGCAGGGAGGCTACACTCTGGGAGTTCTGACGCCCCTGCCAGACAGAGCCTCTTCCCGACCCGGCCCTTCAGCGCAGCCCCAGGGCACACAGTTCCTCCACTTGCGTTGCCAGGCAGAGCTTGCATAGGGAAAACAGATGGGGCTGCGCTCAGGGGCTTGAGCATAGTCCAGTCTGCTTTCCCTGTACAGCACTGAAGGGCCAGGGTCCGGAGCAGTGTGGAAAGATGCACCCATGTGTACTGACCCTCTGCTGTTGAAATATAGGAGAAACGGCACCCCCTACTGATTGAGTAAGGGACAGGCAATTTTCTATTTAAATAAGGGACGTCCCTTGTAATACGGGACTGCTGGCAGTGTTGATACCACTGGAGCTTCCGGGATAGAAGAACTGAGCAGCTGGCACAGCTCCAGCAGCCTGAACAGCGTGACATTCCAGCCTTTTACACTTAGCCACACCACCCACAAGTCTTTTGTCTCTGGATAGTCCCTACCCATTTCAACTGCTGTGGGTTAGCTCACCTGACCACTCTGTTGCTGTGCTCACAGAAAACCTCCCCATAAAGTAAACATGTTATATGCATCCGAAGAAGTGAGGTTTTTACTCACGAAAGCTTATGCCCAAATAAATCTGTTAGTCTTTAAGGTGCCACCAGACTCCTTGTTGTTTATGTTATAACAGAGACAACTACGAACAAACAATAGGAGTTATTCAAGCTTTATGGTCTTGCTGGAGAGCGAGGCTTCCTGTGACGCAGTGAGCAGTGCGGGGAATGGACGGTTGATTTGTCTCTCTTGAAGTTTGCTCATCTTGTGGGTCTGGATTTCCGCTCTCGTGTTTCCTGTCAGAGCAGCAGAGGGCTCAGCATAGGGAGGGGCGGCCGTGCCCTCTCCAGCTCTCTGGGTCCTGGCCCCAGACACCACCCTGTAGAGCTGCAGTCCCATCCCCTCCAGGGCGATGGCTCCTTGGCCCAATCCTGCCTTGGTCTCCTTCTGGCTCCTGTCTCTCTGCTCCATCACCCTGGCTGGTAAGTGACCCCTGTTCTGCTGGATGCCTCAGTCCTATTTCCCATCCCAGTCATTTTCCCCCCAGGGCTGGGAGCTGCAGGGTCCCCTTGGATTGGGGTCCTACATGCCTAGGTCCCATTCCCATCCCAGTCTCTCTCTTTCCTACAGGGGTTCACCATATCTCCTATCTCCAGCTCATCTCCCCTCAGGTGGCCTCTGGTCTGCCCAAGCGACTGCAAGTGATGAGGGTGAATGACCTGGTGCTCTCAGTCTATGACAGCAACACGCGCAGGCAAGCTCCCCGCAATGGGTACAGCCCAGGGAACCAGGAAAGCCAGCAGTTCTGGAATGCACGCAGGGCTGGGTGCCTGGCCTGGGACTTCTGGGTGGAGACCGAGTACCAGGGCCTGGTGCGGGAGATGAACGCCAGCGCCCCAAAGGCGGGTGAGTTCCCATCCCTCAGAACTGAGCTTGGCTCAGAAAGGGAATAGTTGGGCAGCTCAAAGGAGGTGGGAGGGAACTGAGGGAGGGGACACAAGAGGGGAGTGACTTTCCTGTTACATAGTGGTTAGAGTCAGGGAGGGAGACTGGGATCCAGGACTTCTCAGTTCTATTCCCAGCTCTGGGAGAGGAGTGGGGTCTGGTGGATTGCAGGGTGGGGAGTGCTGGGAGTCAGGAATCCTGAGTTCTATGCATGGGGAAATTTCTCCCCCACTCTGGCCCCTGGTGGTAGCTGCATACTCAGTTGCTCACACACCCATTCTTCACCCAGAGCCCTACTACATGCAGGTCTTGAAGACCTGTGAGCTGGACGATGCCACCGGTGCTGTCCGAGCTGTCACCAGATATTCCCTCAATGGGGAGGACATGCTGCAGCATCAGACCGACCAGAACCGCTGGTTTTCGGTGCACCCGGCAGCCTGGCGAGTGGCAGAACGCTGGAACCGTGAAGGGGAGACTTCTGCTGTGCTGAACCACCTCCCACTGCAGCAATGCAGGTTTTGGATGGAGAGGTCTGTGCCATTCACCACTCAGAAGACAGGTGACAGCTCTGCCAATGCCCCTCAGTCTCGACCTGCAGCCCCCTGCTATCCCATTCCCTGTGACTAATATCCCTTCCTCGCCCTCCCCCCAGCCCAGCCCTCAGTGCATGTGGCCTTCGTCCCACGGACCCAGGACCGGCAGCAGCGCCTCGTCTGCCACGTGACGGGGTTCTATCCCCGTGACATCGAGGTGACCTGGGAGCGGGGGGGCCAGGTGGCCCTGGGGGAGCAGCTGACCAGCGGGATCCGGCCAAATGGGGACCCCACCTTCCAGATCCAGGTGTCCATCGAGCTGGGGCAGGAGGGGGTCGGCCCTGCAGAGCATGTGTGTGTGGTGAGACACAGCAGCCTGGGGGATACCCCTCTGAGGGTGACCTGGGGTGAGTACTGGGGGGGGGGGCAGAACAGGGGGAGCAGTGGGGAGAAACTAGGAATGGGGCCACTCCTACTGAGGGAGGAGATGGAAACAAGGGATGGGGAGAAGGGAGTTGGGAAGAGCAGAGGGACCATTTTGGGGGGTACCAGGCTATGGGTAGGCAGAGAGAGGTACTAGGGTTAGGGGTAGGTAGAGAAGTGTTTTGGGGGGTTCAAAGGGGAGGGGCAGGAAGAGGAGCACAATGCGGGGCTTAGAGGTGAGGGGAAAGCACAGGGGGGTTTTGGGCAGCTGGCACATAATGAGGGGTATGCAGAGAAGGGGTTCTAGTGGGGCACAGAGGGGAGGGGAAATGAGAGAGGGGGGCTCACAGACTGGGAGGGGAAGGCAGAGAAGGGGCTGTCTAGATGCAGGGCAGACACAAGGGGGATGGGTGGCTGGGAGGGCCAGTTCAACCGGGGGATGGAGGCACTAGCCCAGAGATATCAGGCAGGTGCAGGGGCAGTGAGAGGCAAAAGGGCTTTGGCCGGCCCATGGCTCAGTTTGTCTCGGGACATTTACAGATTCCCAGGCCACAGGCCAACCTGGTATCCTGGTGATTGTTCCTGTCTGCATCCTTGCGGTGCTGGGAATCGGGGCCCTGGGCTGGTACCTAAGGAGGAGGCCAGGTGAGTGATGACCCCCTTCCCTGCAGCACAGCTCCTGCCCTGCAGCACAGCATTCCCTAGAGCCACACTGGGGTAATGGGGTCAGCACTGACTGGTGGGGGAGAGCGCGCCCTACTGAGCCCCCACCCTGCAGCGCTTGGTCTCCCAGACACATACCAAGCCAGGCTGGCCCTGTTTACCATGAGATCCCAGGGGCTCCATGCTGAGCCCTGGCTGGATAAAGGGGGAGTGGCTGTGGGACGACGCTCCCCAGCTGTGATCCCCATTGTTCCCACACACACACAGGCACCAAGGTCTCCAGATGAGTCAATTGTTGCTTGTGCTTCCCCTGCAGGGGCCCAGAAGGGGCCGTATCATCCGGCACAGACACAGCCAGAGACAGTCGACTCTGCTCCAGCCACCACTAAGCCAGCAGGAGCCTCCTCGTCCACAGCACCTTCTCTCACACATGCCACTGAGTGACCAGACACGCAGGCAGCTGTGTAATGGCCATCACCGCAGACTGGAGCCACATGGACCATCCCTGGCAAAGGGGAGGTGCAGGGGGCGGAGGGGGGGGGGTAACGAATAAGGCCAAAATCCCTGAGGTACAGGGTGGGCTGTGTGACGTTGCACTCCATATGTTTTATGGAAATATGCTTATGAATGTGAATATGATGTAAATGGAATATGCTTTATGCAAATGGTCCCTTGTATGGTGTCCTTAGGAAGCTTGTAATCTACTAAATGTGTTCATCCTATTTGTTTCTATATATGGAGTTAAGAGAATAAGATGTAAACTTGTATAACTGTTATAGTCACACCAATGAGGGCTGTCAATGGGGCATTAGGAACTTGATGGCTCCCATTGAGTAAGACAATTAGTTGTAAATGGTTTATTTACCTGCAAGCATTCCTGTGTATGTGTTGGCCAACCCAGGAAGAATGGAAACTAGGGGTCTTACAGTGACATGTGACCATGTCACATGATACTGGAATCCAGCTTAGCCCTTGTACTTTTCCACTGATGAGGCGGGGGTGGGGACCAAGCACAGACAAAAGATTCCCGCCTTGTTCCAAAGCTATAAAAGGGTGTGTGTAGAGGGGTAGTCACCCCACTCCGACCCTGTAGAGGTTAAACCAGCCCGGGGAAAGGGCTGAGGCTGCGAGAGGACTGCTGCTGGGGTAAGCAGCAAGCCTGGGCTGAAAGGGGAAACAGCCACAGCTGGGGCCATGCCCCAATCAGGGCCCAGCTGGTCCTTATAAGAGTGCAGTGGGCCAGGAGCTCCGACAAAGAGTCTCTCTCTCAGGCCATAGAGAGAGAAGGACCTGGCTGCTGGGAGCTGAACAGAGTACCTAAAGTGGAGCAGGGCTGGGGGAAGGCTAGAAGAACTGTGGGAGATCCAGCCTGGAAACCCCCCCCCAGGCTGTAGGCCTTGTTAAAGGCCGGAAAGGGTACTGGGGTTGCAGAGGGGCAGCCAAAGGGTAGGCAGAGGCAGCAGGTCCAAACCCCCCTTGCCGGTGATGAGTGGCACTTACACTGCAGTCTGCCCCAGGGAACGGGGCTAGGTGATGACTGGCAGTGGCGATGGACTGAGGCGAGGGATAGAGGGTGGGGGTTTCCTGTGGTGGGGAGTCCCAGATTGGGGGGTTGCTGCGGTGGGCAGAACCCCTGAGTAAAGGGCACCGAGGTCTGGGAGGGACATGGAGACCAGCGGCAAGCAGGACATCGGCCAGCAGAGGGCGCTCTGGAGCTGGAAAAGCTAATTTCCTGGACAACCAGCAGGAAGCGCCGCACCAGTGAGTCGCCGCATCACTATAGGGTGGAACAGGAGAAAGGGGGCTGACAGTCAATAGAAAACCCCTGCTTACCACCTGAGATGTCTGCTGGATCTAACGAAGACTCCACCAGGGGAAAGGACTAGGCCCAGACTAGGAAGGACTCTAGTCTGTGAAAGAAGCTTATTGGAACATCTCTGAGGGTGAGATATTACCTGTAATCAGTTTCTTAATATAGTGGACTTGCGTGTTTTTGCTTTATTTTGCTTTGTGACTCACTTTGTTCTGTTATTACTTGAAACTTAAATCCTACTTTTTATACTTAATAAAATCACTTTAGTTTATCAATAAACCCAGAGTAAATGATTAATAGATGAGGGAGCAAAAAGCTGTGCATATCTCTCTATCACTGATATAGAAGGCGAAGAGTTTAAGCTTTATACAGATTAAAACGGATTTATTTGGGGTTTGGATCCCATTGAGAACTGCATGTCTGGGTGCTGCAGATAGGTAGCCTGCTGAGCTGTTTTCAGTTAAGTTTGCAGCTTTGGGGGCATTCCCCAGACCCTGGGTCTGTGTTGCAGCAGGCCCCCCTTACCTTATTGCTGGGCCATGCCCTGAACTGCAGGCTTTCTCCCTGGTCCCCCACCCTGGCACGTGGCTCCTCTATTTTTGTGTCTGCCAATTTTCCACTTACCAGTAGAAAGGTCTTCACTGAAACATTCCAAAAAGGAACCATGTCTCATGACATGAGAACTGCTTTAAGTAATTACTTGAATATTAAAGAGGAACAAAGATGGTTTCAACTGTGGTGACTTCCACTCCATATTTCTATTGAACACATATTGCAAAATAATTGCAAAAAATGTTAGCGACACAACTGAACACCATTATCCCACAAATTATACACACAGATGAGTTTGGTTTCATTAAAAGAAGATAGGTTACTGATAATATGAGAAAAATCACTCACTTGATCTAACAAACTCACATAGAATTATAGAATCATAGAATATCAGGGTTGGAAGGGACCTCAAGAGGTCATCTAGTCCAACCCCCTGCTC